TTCTCCTACCTCAGTCTCACAAACAGCTGGGATTACAGGTACTGGCCACCATGCCCGGCTAATTTCTGTATTTTTAGTAGAGACGGGGTTTCACCATATTGGCTAGGCTGTTCTTGAACTCCTAACCTCAAGTGATCTGCCCACCTTGGCCTTCCAAAGTGTTGGAATTACAGGCGTGAGCCACCTCTCCTGGCTGGAAAATGCTTTTAAAAGTCTTAGTCAACATACTTTCGATGTATACATATTTTAGAATATCATTTGTATTACTTCCATGTCAGTTGTGTTGGTTATAATGGATTTGATTATATTGTTTTCATGTCTTTTGTGTTGGTTTGTATTGGATGTTTTCTTTTTGTTTCTTTAATGTTTAAATGGCTGTGACAAGTGTCTTTATCTCACTTTTTTTAAACACAGATCAATTCTTTGGGCTAGATTGCTAGAATGGGAATTATTGGATCATGAAGTATAAATATTTTTAAGGTGCTTGTTAAATCCACCAAGTCATTTTCTAGGGGAGAATATACCAATGTATATTTTCACATGCCATGTAAGAGATTGCTAATTTCTTTGCATTCTAGCTGGAACTGAGTTTCATAACTTTTACAAACATCTTTGCATCCTTACTAAAAGGAATTGGTGCTCCTTTGAGAGCTGATTGATTCTAGGCTTGGGGCAGGGAAAGTTCAAGATGAGCCTGCTGGGTCAAAAAGTAAGGAAATGCTCTCAACAAATTAGGTATAGCAGGAATATGCCTCAACACAATAAAGGTCATATATAACAAACCAACACCTAATATCATTCAACAGTAAAAAAGAGAAAGCTTTTCCTCTAAGATCAGGAACAAGACCAAGACACCCACTCTTGCCACTTCTATTTAACGTAGTACTAGAAGTACTAGTCAGAGCAATCAGGCAAGAGAATGAAATAAAAGGCATCTAAACTGAAAAGGAAGAAATTAAATTGTACCTGTTTGTAGATGACATGATCTTATATATAAAAACAAACTCTAAATACTGCACCAAAAAACTGTTAGAACTAATAAACAAATTTAGTAATGTTGTAGGATATAAAGTCAGTATATAAAAATCAACACTATTTCTAAATATTAACAGTGAACTATCTGAAAGAGAAATCAAGAACACAATCCTATTTGCAATAGCTGCAAAACCATATTAAAATACTTAGAAATAAATTTAACTAAGAAGTAAAAGACCTGTACACTGAAACCTATAAAACATTGATGAAAGAAACTGAAGAAGACAGAAATAAAAAGACATCTCATGTTTATGGGTTGAAAGAATATTAAAACATCCAAAGTGATCTGCATATTCAATACAATCCCTATAAAATTTTTCACACAGATAGAAAAAAACTATGGAATGACAAAAGAAGCTGAATAGCTAAAGAAATCTTGAGCAAAAAGAACAAAGCTAAAAGCATTATACTGCTTGATCTCAAAATATACTACAAAGCTATAGTGATCAGAACAGCATGGTACTGGCACAGAAACACAAACCAACTCAACAGAATAAAGAGTCCATCAGTTAACAGAGTTGCAAATTTTTTTTTAAATTAAAAAATAAAAGAAAAAGAATAAAGAGTCCAGAAATAAATCTACCCATTTACAGCCAATTGTTCAATAAGGGGCCAAGAATACACAACAGGGAAAGGATATTCTCTTCAATAAGTAGTAATGGGGAAGTGAGATATCCATATGCAGGAGAATAAAATTAGAGGATTTTCTCATGCCATATACAACAATCAACTGAAACAAATTGAAGACTTATGTGTACAACCTGAAACTGTAAAACTGCAAGAAAAAAACGAGGGGGAGAAGCTCTATGACACTGGTTTGAGTGGTGATTTTTTAGATATGACCCCAAAAGCACAGGCAACAAAAGCCAAATAGACAAATGAGATTACATAAAACCGAAACGTTTCTACAGAGCAAGGGTTACAATCAACAGATTGAAGAGACAACATAGAGTACAGGAGAAAATATTTGCCAGCCATACATCTGATAAAGGGATAATATCCTAAATACATAAGGACCTCAAACAATTCAATAGTAATAAAACAAATAATCTGATTATAAAATGGGCAAAGGATGTGCATAGACATTTCTCAAAAAAGGACAAACAAATGGCCAGCAGCTATATGAAAAAAATGTTCAACATAATTAATCATCAGACAAATGCAAATTAAAACCACAATGAGAGATATCACTTCATACCGATTACAATGGCTATATCAAAAAGACAAAAGATAACAAGGTTGGAGAGAATATGGAGAAAAGAAAACCCTTTCACATTGTTGGTGGGAATGTAAATTAGTACAACCATTATGGAAAACAGTATGGAGGTTGCTAAAAAACTTAAAACTATCATGTGATCCAGCAGTCCCACTACAGGATATATATCCAAAGGAAATAAAATCACTATATATATATATTTTAATTGAAATAAAAAAAATCTTTTTATAGAGATGGGGTGTTGCTATGTTGACCAGGCTGGTCTCGAACTCCTGGCCTCAAGCAATCCTCCCATCTTGGCCTCCCAAAGTGCTAGGATTATAAGCATGAGCCACTGTGCCCAACCAAAATCACAATTTTGAAGAGGTATTTGCACTCCCATCTTTATTGCAGCATTAGTCACAATAGCCAAGATAAGAAATCAACCTAAGTGTCCATCAATGAACAACTGAATAAAGCAAATGTTTATATATATATACACATACTGTGGAATATTATTCAGCCTTAAAAAAGAAGGAAATTCTGTCTTTTGTGACAACATGGATGAACCTGGGGACATTATGTTAAGTGAAATAAGTGAGGCACACAAATATACCACAAGATCATATATGTGGAATCGAAAAATATTGAACTCATAGAAGTAGGGGGTAGAATGGTGGTGGCCAGGGGTAAATGGTGGTGGACAGAGAAAAAGAACAAAAAGATGTGCTCAAAAAGTAATGGAGGCATGTCCAATGGACTCTGGAGTTTGTTGGAAGGGGCTCACACCAGCCAAAGCAGGGACATCTGGATCATAGCAATGAATTGTGGCAGTAATGAATTACAACATGTTAGAAAAAAAAATGAGTCCAAATTCATACTAACCAAGATAAAGAAAGAAAGAAAAAGATGGAAAGCTATTAGTTGCAGTAAAATTGGACTAATACATACAGAGGAATAGAAGTATAATACCATCAAGCAATGATTGATTCAGCAAGAATCCTAAATCTGTGCTTGGATGAAAGTGTTTGAGGAGGCTATTTACACAGACAAATAATCTCTCTACAGATAAAATTCATCTGGAATTAATTTTGAATGTCTAGTATGAAGTGAGAATCGAAAATGATTTTTTTTCCCCCAAAACAGTAACCCAGTTTTCCATCTCTTTTCCACAAAAATTAAACTGTAAGCTAATATAGATATTAGACTGTAAGCTTCTTTTTTTTTTTTTTTTTTTTGAGGCGGAGTTTCGCTCTTGTTACCTAGGTTGGAGTGCAGTGCCGCGATCTCGGCTCACTGCAAATCCGCCTTCTGGGTTCAGGCAATTCTCCTGCCTCAGCCTCCCGACTGTAAGCTTCTTGAGGACATGAACCATGTAATGTTCACATGTATTTTTATTTTTTAGGCTAGTCAAGTGAAGCAGTGGGATATGTTCATAATTTTATCCTTAGTGCAGTGCTTATATAACTAACATTGCAGGTTAAATTAGAGACTCAAAAATATTTGGGGAGTGCACTTTTTAAAAAAATCATACCAGGGCCGGGCGCAGTGGCTCAAGCCTGTAATCCCAGCACTTTGGGAGGCCGAGGCGGGTGGATCACGAGGTCAAGAGATCGAGACCATCCTGGCCAACATGGTGAAACCCCGTCTCTACTAAAAATACAAAAAATTAGCTGGTTATGGTGGCACGTGCCTGTAATCCCAGCTACTCAGGAGGCTGAGGCAGGAGAATTGCCTGAACCCAGGAGGCGGAGGTTGCGGTGAGCCGAGATCGCGCCATTGCACTCCAGCCTGACAGCCTGGGTAACAAGAGCGAAACTCTGTCTCAAAAAAAAAAAAAAAAAAATCATACCTGGAGTTTCTATAAACACTACAGTCTTCGTGGCTGGGCGATTTATTCTTTTCGTATGACCTCTGTACCTATTTTATATTTCATTGTAAGTTTATGAAATATTAACATACGGGGGATAATTACGAGGGCCTTTTTTGATTATCAGAAAAAAAAGTTTTTTTAAATGTTTTTAATGCAAGGCTGAGACTTGAGCATCTTTATGGGCTGAGGAGGAAGAGTCATTGGAAAAGGGGAGGTTGCAGATACGGTACAAGCTCCCAGACAGGAGAGGGTGAATTGGGGGCCAAAAGGATTGAGCTGGGGAAGAAGAGGCCCTTTCCTCAGAGAAATGAGGGAGAAAGGCAGACCAGGGCAGATGTGGACGTAGGTAAATGTTGTGGTGGTTGTGGTGGGGAATTAGGTTGTTAAGGGTCACGCCCAGATAACTTGGGATTTTTCACTTGGGTATAAAATAAGATTCTCTGCTGAGAATGATAGTCAAGGTAATGTGGGGGTCGGGTGGTGGTCTGGCGCAGCAATAATGAGGAATGGGAGAAGCTGACTACAGTCTCCCAGAAAGAATGCTGAAGGGCCTAGCTGACGATGGTGACTGGGATTTGCACTGAAATCAACCTGCAGGTTTCGATGGTACTTGCCTATTCCAGGAAAACTGGGTAGGGATTTGACCAAACTCTTAAGGAAAAGGACCCACATAATTTAATTAAAATAGCACCTCCCTTTAGATTTCGTCTCCTTTCCATCCTCTCTTCCCAAGCCCCACAGCTGCGGTGGGCGGGTTTTAGCATGTTTTCTGCTGTTAACTGCACTGTGCTCTCGGCGCGGCAGAAAGGACGAATAACGCTAGCAAGCTGAGCAAGACAGGGCTTGGTAACTTTATTTGCATCAGAATTTGCAACACAACACCTAAATGAAAAAATTAGAAAGCCAACATCACTCACTCTGGGTCAGGGCACCATGCCATTCGCTTTAAGTGCATTTACTTAATCCTCAAAAAAGTATTAAGAAGTGAGTCCTATTATTAACCTGACTCTACACACCAGAGGTCTAAGGCCTAAAGAAATGACCAATTTGTTTAAGATCATACGGCTGGTTATTGGCGGAGTCATGCAAGTCTGGAAACAGTCTAACTTCGGTTCTGGGCTACACGAGTGAACTGTCAGTCTACAACAACGCAGTAACATATTGAGTGCCCACAGCATCGAACACATACGGCAGCCGCAGTCCAGCCAGTACCTGTGCAGTGCCCAGAATACCAAGCACCCAACTGGTAACCCCACACGCGTGACGCTCACGCTCGCCGTCCGTCTGGCTTCTTCCTGGAAGACTGAAGTGGCCTAATCTCGGCCAAATGATCAGGACGACTCGATCTGGGCCAGACTCCTTCTGCCTGAACACCTGATCCGAGCGTCGTGCGGGCTGGGAGGAGCCGGCCTCCGGGAAAGATTGAGGATTGGCGGACAGGAAAACAGAGGGCGGAGTCTGGGGGGGAAGCGAGAAGCCGCAACAAACTGGTAAGCAGCTTCGCTTCCTGCCGCAACTGTTAGCGGCCTCAGGAGCACATCACCGCGCTCGGGTGCCGACTTCTGGGGGTTGAGCCGGTGAAACGGTGACTGGGGTGGAGGGCAGCCGGCGCGGCCGGGGCGGGAGGCGCAGGTAAGGGCGGGGGCCTGGAGCGCGGCTGGCTAGAGCTGAGCATGGGAGAGAGGCCGGTTTGGGGAACTCCTGGGCCAAAGCTGATGTGAAGGCGAGAACCGGGGTTCTTCAGCCAGGGTTTGGGGCCTGGCTGCGGCTGAGCAAGGAAAGACAGAGAACCTGCCTTTAGAATTAGCTGGTCCTTCCGATTCCCCGGCTGCCTCGTCTGGCGAGTGGGGACAGAAGTCGGGTGGGGCCCTTGAGATTTCCTTGGAAACCTTAGTTCCTTTGCCTCTCTCTCGACCCTTACGCCTGAACTTCGTTAGGAGGGGAAGAGTCCTGTTGCTTTTTCCCTCAGTGCAAGAGTTCTGAGTTTGTTAGAGGCGCATCGGTAGGTTGGAAAAGGAAGTTCATCATCTGCAGAAACGATACCAACCGTGGGGGTTCAAGTATGTGCTTGTCTTCGTAAATGCTTGCCTCTGCTATTTGAGACGATTCCATTTCAACTTCAGAGTCTCGAGGAGGAGGCTTATTTCCCAGTTAGTGTTTACCCTTTGCTTAGAAAGTTCCCAAGAAAAGGTTGAGAATGGAATGTGTTGAATACTTTTAGGACTTAGGGGTTTTCTGCCCAGTCAGAGGTTATTACTAAGACAATCAAGAAATTTAAGAAGTGCTAGAATTCTGTATAAAGCAAGTTATTCGTGTGTATCTGCTGTGTGTCTATGATATATTATCTAATATTGACGCAGTGCATCCTGTGTCGTAAAATGTGTCCAATGTTGGCAATAGAGGTAGTCGCTTGGTATAGTGTGCTTATTTATGATTTGAGTCTCTTTTTGGCACTCCATAACTCCCACTCTGTCAGTAGTCTTACAAGAAGTGGTCTTATTTCTTTCGTGTTTGTGACAAAGATTGTGTAGGTTAAATCTCTTCTGCGGAGCAAGACTAATTCCCTGTGTCCTCCCTTTTTCTGCTTTCTGAATCATGCTCTGGTTTTCCTTTAGTGTTTCTTTAGGCGTGCAGGTCAAAAATTGAACAAGAAATCTTTGTTGATAGAAGCTAACATTTCCAATATTCAGCTTTCCTAAATCATTAAATAAATTTTCAGTATGTACGTACGTATGTATGTATGTATGTATGTATTTTTGAGACGCTGTCTCTCGTTCTGTCCCCCAGGCTAGAGTGCAATGGCATGATCTCGGCCGACTGCAACCTCCGCTTACCGGGTTCAAGCGATTCTCCTGCTTCAGCCCCCCGAGTAGTTGGGATTACAGGCGCGTGCCACTACACCTGGCCAATTTTTGTTTTTTTAGTAGAGACGTGCTTTCCCCACGTTAGCTAAGCTGGTTTCGAATTCCTGACCTCAGGCGATCCACCCGTCTCAGCCTCCCAAAGTGCTGGGATTACAAGGTGTGAGCCACTGCGCCTGAGCTCTCCCTCCCTCTCCCAGGCTGGAGTGCATTGAGTCTTGGCTCACTGCAGTCTTTGTCTCCCAGGCTCAAGCGATTCCCCTGACTCGGCCTCCCAAAGTGCTGGGATTACAGGTGTGAGCCACCACGCCCGGCCTTTACTGATTGGCTTCTGATAGTTTGTAGTAGGTCAGCATGTATTAGTAGCCTTAATTAGAAAGGGTAAAGAATTGGTGATATATTAGAAGGCGTTGGATAGCTAGGTTAATAGGACCGATTACCTCTCAGTTAGGAAACAGTCCTAGTTTATATTTTAAAGAGTTGTTAAGCTGCTGAAGAGTGAGAGTTATAATTTTTTCAGGGCCCTCGTGTCATTATGTAATTATTAGGATTAACTATATGATTGGGTTTGTGTTTCAGAGACTACACTTGCTGAGTGTTTTCCTGGGAATTTTTATCTCCATATTTCCAAAGCCAAGTATAGTTTTTGTGTAGATAACCTTTAGAAGTAATTCTAAGACTCTTTTGGCAGAGTGCCATCTCTGCTTCTGACATTACTTGTGTCAAAGTAGAATATAGGCTATTTTCCAGGGGTTGTTGTTACGACCGTCACATTATCCTTTCTCTCCAGTGCTCTTTTTTTTTTTTTTTTCTTTTTTTTTTTTTTTTTTTTTTTGTAATAAAATACAGATGAGGTCTCCAATTCCTGGCCTCAAGTGATCTCCCATCTCAGCCTCCCAAAGTGCTGGGATTACAGGCATGAGACCACAGTGCCTGGCCTCTTTAAAACAACAATAACAACAACAAAAAACCACAAGCTTTTTTTTTAAGTGTATACTGGATCATCAGCTTACTTCTCAACACTTTTTGCCGAATTGTCATGACACTTCAGAAGGATTTTTGATTATTCTTCTCAATACTGTAGAAGATATTAGAAACCTTTCTTCCCCATCTTCTTCTTTTCCTTCCTTTTTCCTTCCCTTTCCTCTTCCTCTTTTTCTTTTCCCTCCCCCCCATAAACATTTATTGCCAAAATTCTGTTTAAATCAGTGGTTTTTCTGATTTAATTAATTTATTAATTAAATTATTGATCTCACAAAGTCTTGAGTAGTTAGAGAATGCAGATAGGCTAAAAGTAAAGTGTGAAGAGCTACAAAAGTAATTTTGATTTGAGGAATACTTTTGGGGTAAGACTTGGGGTATAGTGACAATTTTATCTGTATGACCCCCAAGAAAGTTGTTTTAGGTTCAGTGTACCTTAGTTGCCTCAAAGGTAAATGTAGTAATAAAGCCAGCTGTGTGTGCTTTCCGGGACTGTTAAGAATAAAATGAGATGGTAGATATGATTTTGAATGTGAAAAGCATTTTACCAAGAGTGTAATGTCCTCTTTGTAAAGTGAAGACTAGATTATAAACTATAGTATATATATTGTTTTTTCCAAGGGAGGAACCTTGTCTTTATTTTGAAACAATAGGTGGCCTTCTGGTGGCCAGAACATGCTTCTGCTTGTGGGGGCCATTGTCTGGGCCCTAAGGATCGGCAGAGCTCAGTATGCTTAGGATGTTTCAGGAAGGCCTCGTAGTTGATGCAGCCGTTGCAGACCTCATGTCCTGCCAGAACGGTCTCCATCTCCTCCTCAGCTATATTCTCTCCCAGGGTGGTAAGGACGTGTCTGAGCTCTGCTGTTTTAACTTTGCTGTTCTCCTCCTTGTCAAACACGTGAAGCCCCTCCAAGTAGTCCTCACATGTGCCCTGGTTCTGGTTCTTGGCTTCTGCTTGGAGCATGGAGGAAAGTCTTGAAGTCCACATGCTGGGACTTCAGCTCGTCACTCTTGGGTTCCCCAGGATCTTGAGCACCTTGGCATTGGTGGGGTTCTGGCCCAGGGCCCCCAATATGTCCCCAAACTGGCTGTACAGGATCTTGCCATCTGCCACTCTGCCAAACAGCTTAAAGGCCTCCTTGAGCTCCTCCAGCTGGTCCTTGTTAAACTTGATCACCACTTTGGAGAGATTAGGGGCTCCTGGGTTTTCTCAGGGGTTTGGGAGAATAGCTGGCTCAGCTTTGATCTTGGCTGGAGAGACCCCTGCTGCTGGCTTGGCAGCAGGTTTGGAGAGGGAGGGCCCTGCTGCTTCCTTCCCAGACAGAACATCCTTCTTGCAAAGCATGATGTCTGGTGGCCAAAGGACAGTGTGTGGATGGGGGCACCCATCTACTTTGGGGTCTGTGTCTGGGGCACTGTTTTAATAATTAGAGTTATCCATGGCTCTTCTCTTTGAAATATAAATAAATACGGCAGAAAATACTATTCTGTAACTTCCATCTGGTGATGTGGTTAGCTTTACTGCTTTGGTTGAAATACGATTTTTGGTTATTTAGAAAAAAAGCGCTTTAAGAAGATCTGCATTAATGTCTATATGAATTGAGGCTTAAAGGGAGGAAAAACCAGGTTCATTTGTCCAGGAGCAAATGCAGTGGGGAAACAACTTGTTGATTTGAATAGTCGTCATAGGTCATGAAGCATAGCTTCAGGTAAAAGTTTTGTAGAAATGTCGTTAGAGGATGATTTTCATGTCCTTGTCTTAGAAATGTAATTATTTTTATGTTATTTTTTAAAATATAAAAGTTGAGGCAGGCATGGTGACTCACACCTATAATCTCAGCACTTTGGGAGGCTGAGGCCGGTGGATCACTTGAGGTGGAGGAGTTCGAGACCAGCCTGGCCAAACCCCATCTCCACTGAAAATACAAAAAATTAGCCGAGCGTGGTGATGCATGCCTGTAGTCCCAGATACTTAGGAGGCTGAGGCAGGAGGATCATTTGAACCTGGGAGATGCAGGTTGCAGTGAGTCAGGATCACGCCACTGCACTCCAGCCTGGGTGACAGAGCGAGACACCATCTCAAAAAAAAAAAAATAGTTGAAATAAGTAAAACAAGACTGAAGAATTTCTATGTGTGCTGTATAACTAGCCTTCCCCCCATAACTTTAAAAAGCTGTTCTATATCCTTTCTTCCAAAACATCTTAAAATGAAAGCAATAGAAATAATGTGAAAATGCTTATTTTTCTTTCTGCCTGCTCACATTAGTGCTTTACCTCCAAATTTTTATTAAAATAAATATTTTCTATGATTCAAATAGTACTGTTTAAAATTAAGCTGGCTATCAGATCATAGTTTTAGGTGATTGAGACTCTTATGATTTAGACAGCAATGTGTTCAGTCCTTTGGAATATATGAAGCTAGATTTATTTACGGTTTGTTTTCATATATCTGAATTTTCACAGAATAGGATTTTCTAGATATTTGGATGCTGTTTGGAATCAACTTTCGAGCTTCCTGAGGAACTTACACATTTGCTTGTTTCTTGTGTTTTTCAGACTCATGAAATGGCCACAGATGATAAGACGTCCCCAACACTGGATTCTGCTAATGATTTGCCTCGATCTCCCACTAGTCCTTCTCATCTCACACACTTTAAACCTTTGACTCCTGATCAAGATGAGCCCCCTTTTAAATCAGCTTATAGTTCTTTTGTAAATCTCTTTCGTTTTAACAAAGGTAAGACTTATTACGGTTAAGAGGTTTGATTCTTTGAAATACTCCTTTGTTTCCAGTAGCTCACCATGATCATATAGTGATTAGTACTCTGTTCAGCTTTAATGTTGGGTCTGTAAGAAAGTGAAATATTAACAAGCTGATAGCTTTAATTGTAGGTCACCAGGGTTTACTGCTGAAGAGAATGCTAGAACTTTTACTGTAATATCATTAATAATTGGTAACTAAAGGTCTGAATTAAAAACTAAATGTTAAAAGAAGGTTTCTTTTAATAGAGAAATCAGTATTCTTTTTTTCTTAATATACTTCAACTTGTTTCATAGAATGGACTTTGTCCTTTTGGGGATTAGTAGCTAAAATATTTAAAGCAATGAAACTAAAAGGAGCAGTACATGGAAGGAAAGGTTTATATTTTTCAAAAATTGGAAGCTGTCAGTAGGCCTCTTGCTGACTTAAAATATTAGATTAAAGTGTACATGTCATGACATCAAATGAAAAGATACTTTTAAAATGAGCTATTTTTAAGTGATATGTCTTTTACCTGGAATAAGAATTTTAAAAACGTGGCCCATATATTTTGTCTTTTGTTTGTCTGTATTACTTGAAGTATGTTAGAAAGTAATTCTTGTTGTTGTAAAGAATTTGGGGAGGTTAATAGTTTTAATTAACTTGGTAGAATATTTTATTTTATTTTATTACTTTTTTTGAGACAGAGTTTCACTCTTGTTGCCCAGGATGGAGTGCAATGGCACAATCTTGGCTCACCACAACCTCTGGCTCCTGGGTTCCAGTGATTCACTTGCTTCAGCCTCCCAAGTAGCTAAGATTACAGGCATGTGTCACCATGCCTGGCTAATTTTGTATTTTTAGGAGAGACAGGGTTTCTCCATGTTGGTCAGGCTGTTCTCGAACTCCTGACCTCAGATGATCTGCCTGCCTTGGCCTCTCAAAGTGCTGGGATTACAGGCATGAACCACCGCGCCTGGCCAGTAGAACCTTTAATAATATTAACTGAATTTTATTTATGATCATATTTAAAGTGCTATAAAAACCCTTTAGTACATTTTGAAGACAATGATATTTTCAAAAATAAACTATTTTTTAGACCAGTTTTAGATTTACAGAAAAATTGGGAAGATAGATTTCCATATATTCCCATACCCAGTTTTCCTTATTATAAACATTTTATATTAGTCTGGTACATTTGTTATAATTAATGCACTATTATTTTTAGATTGTTAACTAAATTACGTACTTTATTTAGATTTCTTGAGCTTTTACCAGTTGTTCTTTTTGTGTTCCAGAATCCCATTTATGATGCCACATTACACTGAGTTATCATAAGACAATAACATTTTTATTTATTTAGCAAATGCTTATTGACTACCTCCTTTGTGCTGGGAACTGTTTTAATAGTGTAAGGGATCTATCCCATAAAGAGACCGAAAAAAAAAAAACTGCCTTTATATGAAGCTTGCATTTTGTTTCCTTCAATATGCTCAAGAAATTTCTAATGAAAGTAAAACAAATGGAAGATCGTATATACCATGGGTGTGATTATTGGCCTGTAATTTTGTCCCCTTCTTTGAATTTTCTTTTTTAAAAATCTAGGCTGGGCACACAGTGGCTTTTGCCTGTAATTTCAGCACTTTGGGAGGCCGAGGTGGGGTATCACTTGAGGCCAAGAGTTCAACACCAGTCTGGGCAACATAGGGAGAACCTGTTTATATTTAAAATTAAATTAATGAAAATGGAAAAAAAAAATGTTTAAATTATGCATGTAATACATTCATACATTGTTGCCTGAAAATGTCATCTACTTCCTTCTCATTGCTGAACTCTCAGTCTTCGTTTTTCAAGTAATGCCAAGTGTTCCCTTGCTACAGAAAGAGCAGAAGGAGTCCAGGGAGAACAGCAGCCTTTGAGTGGAAGTTGGACCAGCCCTCAGCTCCCTTCAAGGACACAATCTGTTAGGTCACCCACACCTTATAAAAAACAGCTTAATGAGGAACTCCAGCGGCGCTCTTCAGCATTAGGTAAACAGTTTTCTTATTTTATTCCCTTCTATATACTAGATTTTTCCACAGTCATTGTGTTTCCTAGTTTGTTTATAGCAGGACTTAACTTTCCTACTATTTGGAATAGTCAGGTACTGTTCAGAGTAAATAAAACTGTTACCTAGGAAGTGAAAGAATTTGTTGACACCTGGAAAAATTCTTAAATGAGTCTTTAAAATTTAACTTAGGCAAGGCACATATCTCTTGACTATTTTTTGATTAATTACTTGCTTGGGTTTCAGCAGAGAACAGTTTGCAACATCCCCAGGAGAACACAGGTTAGTTTCTACTTTGTGAATGAATTCTGTATCTGTTCTTGGTATGCTAGTGAAATGTGATATGCATGCCTCTGGCTGCAGAACTCTGTCATCTCCATTAGTGGGCTGCCACTTGCTCTTGGCCTTCTGTCCTTGTTGGGGTGCAAACCGTCAGTGTGGCTGAATAAGCTGAGCTCCCCTCATCTGTCCGTTTTCCATTCTGATCTACTACACAGTCATTTCCTTCATTTTCATGCTCTTCCGATGAGTATGGGCTGGGGATTGGGGTCAGAATTGAGAGATTAGATAAAGAGAGGTGGTTTATGTTTTATTTCTGTCAGATTTTTAAACTTGGTGGAGTGGTTTGTCCAAGTCAAGGTGACAGAAGAAAGGAAGTGGAAAGTGGCATGATAGAGGGGAAGGGATGCAGCACTGGGGACTAGATGTCCCTGAACCCCAGATCCCGTCTGGTCTGGTTGATCTTCCCCCAGGTAATGGTGGTTGGCAGAAGGTACTTTATTGTGTGTTGAGACTCAGTCAGCCAGAACAAAGAGAAGCCAAGCAAAAGAAGAGTTTCTAGCCAAGGACTGGCACAGAGCTGGCTGTATCACCTGCACAGGTTTTCTAGGGCAATGAGCCTCAGCCTGGGTTACATCAGCCGTTTGGAGGGAAGAATCAGAAGATGGGGAGTGGGAGAGAAAGGAGTTCTCCTTTTATTCCAGATAATCTCTATTTTAACCTTTAACCTCAGTAAACTCTCCTTAGCTCTTGTGCCTGACCCACAGCAACAGTATTTTTTGTTGAGGGAACTCTCTTGACTAAATCCCACGCTGAATTGAGTGTAGGGTTTTTTTTTTTTTCTTTTTTTTTTAAATTTCTAAAATCAAGTTGGACTAGAATGTAATCTTTTAGAAGTTACAAATTGGAAAGCCATGCCATTGGTGTTGTGATCCAACTTGAGCTTTAATATCTCCAGGTTGAGCCTTTAATGTTTACTTTCCTTATTGTCTTTTTCAGTTGTCTTGATTATTTGATTCTACCTCGAAGACATTTGAGCTTCAGAAGCCTGGTGGTGTTTGGCCAATCAAGTTATTTTTCCTACTAAAAAGGCTTGTAATTCTACAGTTTACTAGCTTTCAGAACTTAGGAAAGTTATTTAATTTTCTAATGTTCATTTTGCAAGAGAAGTAGCCAAGGCTATTTGCCTAAGGGCATAGAGCTAGACCAGATTTTCTCTTTGGGTTTCTTTCATCTTCAGCCAACATCTATGTTTCTCTTGTTTCAAGAAGGGTCTCGTTCATCCTTTTTCAGTGGACGATGCTGTTAATACTTTCTTATATTGCAAAGGACTTCACACACTATTGTTGCCTGCTGCACGGGAGCACAGCTGTCATGTTTCCAGTAGCTTCACCCATCTCCTTTTTCAACTTGTAGATCATGGAGAGTTGCTTTTCTTTTTTTAGATGCGAGAAAAGTTTAGTTATTCTAATACTTACAGTAGCAACACATCTGAGGTATGTGCTGAAACTAAGATACGACTTTATAGAAGATGAAAGTTTCCAGAGTTTTCTAAAATAGGTACAGTTTTGATAGTTACTTCAGTGATTACATTATCTTGGGAAATTCTTAGTAAACTTTAGATCTCAACCTCTCATTTCTTTGTAATTGTTTTTTTCCCTACCCAGCCAAAACGACACCTATAACAAATATAGTAAATGGTGAGTTTGAGGAAGATTCAGAATGAGGTGTTTTCCAGCTTACTTTGCCTTAGGTTATAGGTTGACAGATTTAAGTTAATAGGATGTTCTCCTTTTTGTCAAAACATCTTTGCTTCATCCTTAGATTTGTAACTCCCAGAGATAGGCAGAAACTTTGGTTGTAATTTTGGTCTAAGTTAAGGAAATAATAGGTGACAACTTTGGTGGGCATAACCTATTTTGGCCACCGGTCTGGAATTTGGGCTTATTAGTGGTAGATTTGGCTTCAGTATTGCTATGTCAGGTATAAATGATCCTTTCCAATTTGGAGCTGCAGGGTTGGGGAAGTGACAGGGAGGGATAGGATTGGAATTTTAGCAATTTTTCTGGCAGTTTTAATCTGCTTGGACCATTGGTCAAGTTTTATCATGGCAAATTAGCATTCTGGATGTTGTGAGGTTTGTCAGAATCTTTGAAGGCTGGGCTATTAAACTTTTTTCTGATCACCTTCTGCATGAGACTTTGGATATATGGTCTGCAGACAGAACTGAACTGTTTGATCCTATTGCTTATCTGTTTGACTTTAGGGACCAAGCTAAGTTAACTCTCCTGATTGCTTTTTCTTCTGCTAAATTTCTAGCAGGCATTTATTATAGGTTGGACCAAAGGGCTTAATAAGTCATTAATGAATTTTGCACCATTTAAGTGATGTTCCCATTCCAGGCCTGAAAACCATCAGTGGTCTCAGACAACGCTTGTCTTATGCAGCCTTTACTCGCTTGTAAAACAGCATTTTACATGATAAATACTTTCAGTAGCCTCTTACCCTTATAAAGACTCGCTTTAACTCTCAATTCATATAACTGGATGAGAGAACATAATTACATGCTAAAAATAAGAGAGAGTTTCCATCACATATATACCTTGTTGTTTATAGATACTAGGGACTATTAACGAGGTTGCTTTTTTTTAATCCAACTCAGACACAAGAAGGAAAGCAGAACCTACCTTTGGAGGTCATGACCCTCGTACAGCTGTTCAGCTTCGAAGCCTCAGCACAGTATTAAAACGCCTCAAGGAAATCATGGAGGGGAAAAGCCAGGTACTGTCTAGAGGCTTTGGAAGATTACTTATGAAGCGCTTATGGGGATCATGCCATACCTACTGAAGATGGCATAAAGCCACTTTAAAGAAAGTTTAAGTAGCGCTTCCTCCAGGTGTGAGCATCCTATTTTTATACATAAGTTCTTAATTTTATTGTAGTCTAATTTATCAGTTTTCTTCCCTTTATGCTTAGTGCTTTTTGTGTTCTGTTTAAGAAGTGTTTATCTAGTTCAGGGCAGTAGATATTCTCCTATGGTTTCTTCAAGAAGCTTTATTATTTCTATCAAGTATAGGGGTCAGGCTTTGATTTTTCTTCATGGATGTCCAGTTGGATATAGTACCATCGTTTTGAAAAGATCATCTTTCACCGATTACATTATAAATTTCATCATAAGTCCATATGTGTGTGAGGATATGTCAGGGCTCTCTTTTCTGTTCCATACCTTTATTTTTTTCTATTCTTGTACCAGTACCCTGTCTAAAGTTATTGTAGCATTAGAATAAGTTTTGATGGCTGGTAATATAACTCCTTCAATTTTGTTCTTCAAGATTCTCTTGGTTATTTTGACCTTTTGTATTCCCATATGAATTTTTGAATTAGCTTGTTATTTTCTGCAAAAGAAACCTTTGAGGATTTCATTTGCCATTGCATATTAATAATCAGTATTTTCAAGAAGCCTTCACACATTTTTATTGTTATAGGATAGTGACCTGAAACAATACTGGATGCCAGATAGCCAATGTAAAGAGTGCTATGACTGTAGTGAGAAATTTACAACCTTTAGGCGCAGACACCATTGCCGACTATGTGGGCAGATTTTCTGCAGTCGTTGCTGTAACCAAGAAATCCCTGGAAAATTTATGGGCTATACAGGTAAATGCATTTTATTGCCAGTTTACAATTTTTAAAGGTCATAACTATAAAACACTTATAATACAGGATAGTATTAAGCCAATTTTCATTTTGGGCTTTATGTGTAAGACATGGGGACACAAAGGTGAGGGAGACACAGCTTTGCTTTTAAGAAGTTTACTATTGAATAATACAGTAGATGGGACTGATGATAAATAATTAGAGTAAAAATGTAGATGCTAGCAAAAAACTATAGGAACATTAAAATTTATTAGACAAGATGGTTAGAGTAGATTACTAATTTGAATCACTGTAAGAGTTTTCATTTTACAAAGTACAGATCTTCCTTGACTTACATGATACTGTGCTTTGGTGGTGAATTGTGTCTTACTCAGATTCTTCCATAAGGAACATAGTCAAATTTCATCAATACAGAAATTAAGTTGTTTGTTGAAACAGAAAAAAGTGAACAATGGTGTGTTGATTTATACATTGACTTGGGAGTGGAAGGTAGGCAGAAATTACCTGAAAAAGAACACCCTTAACATCTCTCTCATGTTATTTTTGTTATTGTGAAGATCTTTCTGTCTACTCATATTTTCTACTCAAACTACTAAAGAGTTCAGAATCCCATTATCTGTCACCCAGAATCCCATTAGCTTTTACAGTGGCTTTTTTGTTTGAAAATTATTTGTGTGTTTTTTTTTTTTTTTTTTTGTTTGGTAATATTTCAACTTTGATTTTAGATTCTTATTTTTTACATGGGTATATTTAGTGATGCTGAGATTTTGTGTATGATTGATCCTATCACTCAAGTAGTGAGCTTGGTATCTAATAGTTTTTCAAACCTTGCTCCTCTCCTTCCCTTCTGGCTCTAGTAGTCCCCTTGTCTATTGTTACCATCTTTTTTTTTTTTTTTTTTTTTTTTTTTTTTTGAGACGGAGTTTCGCTCTTGTTACCCAGGCTGGAGTGCAATGGCGCGATCTCGGCTCACCGCAACCTCCGCCTCCCGGGTTCAGGCAATTCTCCTGCCCCAGCCTCCTAAGTCGCTGGGATTACAGGCACGCGCCACCATGCCCAGCTAATTTTTTGTATTTTTAGTAGAGACGGGGTTTCACCATGTTGACCAGGATGGTCTCGATCTCTTGACCTCGTGATCCACCCGCCTCGGCCTCCCAAAGTGCTGGGATTACAGGCTTGAGCCACCGCGCCCGGCTATTGTTACCATCTTTATGTACTCAGTGTTTGGTTCCCAATTATAAGCAAGAACATGCAGTGTTTGGTTTTCTTTTCCTGTATTAATTTACTCAGGATAAGGGCGTCCAGCAGCATCCATGTTGCTGCAAAGGTCATAATTTTGTTCTTTTTTATGGCTGCATAGTATTCCATGGCGTGTATATATACCACATTTTTTAAATCCATTCCACCATTGGTGGCACCTAGGTTGATTCTGTGTCTTTGCTTTTATAAAAAGTGGTACCATGAACATATGAGTGCATGTGTCTTTTTGGTAGAATGATTTATTTTCCTTTGGGTATACACCAAGTAGTGGGATTCCTGAATCAAATGTAGTAGTTTCGTTTTAAGCTCTTTGAGAAATCTTCAACTGCCTTTCACAGTGATGAATTAACTTACATTCCTATCAGCACTGTATAAGCATTCTCTTTACTCTGCAGTTTTGCCAACATTCCTTTTTTGGCTTTTTAGTAGTAGCCATTCTGATTGGTGTGAGATGGTATCTTATTGTGGTTTTGATTTGCTAATGATTAGTGATGTGGAGCATTTTTTCATGTTTTTTGGCCACTTGTAGATCTTTTTTTGAGAAGTGTCTATTCATGTCTTTTGCTTAGTTTTTAATGGGGTTGTTTTCTGCTTGTTGAATTACGTTCCTTATATATTCTAGATATTAGATCTTTGTCAGATGCGTAGCATGCAAATATTTTCTCCTGTGGCTTGTTTAGTCTGTTGATAGTTTCTCTTGCTATGCAGAAGCACTTTAGTTTAATTAGGTCCCATTTGTCAATTTTTGTTTTTGTTGCAGTTGCTTTTGAGGACTTAGTCATAAATTGTTTCTCAAGGCTGATGCCCAGAATTGTGCTTCATAGATTTTCTTCTAGGACTTTCATAGTTTGAGGTCTTACATTTAAACCTTTAATCCATCTTGAATTAATTTTTGTATATGGTGAAATGTAGGGGCCAGTTTCATTCTTCTGCATATGGCTAACCAGCTATCCCAGCGCCATTTATTGAATAGGGAGTCCTTTCCTTGTTGTTTATTTTTGTTGACTTTGTTGAAGATCAAACGGCTGTAAAGTGTGTGGTTTTATTTCTGGGTACTTTGTTTTGTTCCATTGGCTTATGTGCCTGTTTTTGTACCGGTACCATGCTGTTTTTGTTACCATAGCCTGTTCCTATGAAACTACTAAAGTTGTTTTTCACAGAATTAGAAAAAACTATTCTAAAATTCATATACAACCAAAAAAGAGGCTGAATAGCCAAAACAATCTTAAGCAAAAAGAACAAGGCAGGAGGCATCACATTTCCTAACTTCAAATTGTGCTCTAAGCCTATAGTAACCAAGATTACAGCTTTTAAAAGGCTTTTTACCTTTAGTTTCTCCCTGCCTGTAATTCATATTTCATATCCTAGTCAGTATTCTTTGTAAAATGCTAATTTGATCATGTCAGGATATTTCCTTGCATAATACTCTTTCAGAGCTCCCATTACCCTCAGGATAAAACCCGTCTGTGGTTGGTATGTTAGTTTCCTAGGGTTGCCATAACAAAGTACCGTAGGCTGAGTGGCTTAGAACAACAGAAATGCATGTCTCAGAGTTCTGGAGGCAGAAGTACCATAATACAGGTCAGGGAACAAATGTAGGGATTTTGCTAGTTTTCTATTCTAACTCTATATTCTAGAACTGGGGAAATAACCATCGAGTGAGCCTGGTGACTCACTAAACTCACAGTGAGACGGACCTGAGCTAAAGCTCCACTGATATCTGACATCTATAAGCCCCTACTCTGACTGACAGACCAGAGTGATATTTTGGAATGACTGTCAGTTGAGAGTGAGTATCTAATAACCCCTGAAAAATTTGATCATTCATTTCCTTCTCCTCAATGTCTGATCGCCTTAGTAAAAGCATAGATCTCTTTGGGATGGCTGGTAGAAAGATTAACAGAATATATTTCTGGCAGTGTAGTGGGGTTCTTCCTCAGAATGACCAGTCCCCTCTTTATTCAAGGAGTTTTGGGTCATCTGTAAATGGCTCAAGTCTGGGAATTGATTGAGGGGTCATATGACTATTCTTATGATTCAAGATAGACTTATAGCTACTTGATGTAGAGTTGTTTCCCTTATATAAATCAAGTAAGAATTTTGTTGACTGCCCATCTACTTCACTTGTGGAGACATTATGATCAACTAGCCAATGCCGTAGGTCTCTGAGTCAGGCTATTCTGATTACTGCTTTGATTCTGTTGTCTATTACAGTAACCATGCCCACCTTGTCTTTGGTGATTAAAGTGCTACCGGTTGGCCCCTGCCACTCTGGGATCCAGTGATCCCTGTTGCATTTAGGTTTCCTGACCCAGTAGCGGTAATTCCTGCTGTAATTTCTGATCTACAAAGAGCAACGACAAAGCTTTTTAAGCATGCTGGGCCTCCCCTCACAAATTTATTTCTCGTAGTCGTTGTTGAAAGGCGTATCCTCTTTGGGTGAGTCAGCAAGTCTTACATGGTAAAACTACTTTTAAAGTTTCAATCTCCCCTAGCCTTTGGATGCCTTCCTCTATAGTATACTAGGGCATTCCTGACATTTCAACCCCATTTAGTGTAAGCCACCTTTTGGTGTGTGTTTCAGCCAGTCATCTAAACATACGGTTGGAGACCCTTTTAACCCCTTGAGCTGCAACGATAAATGTAGAATCTGCTTAGTGGGCCCACATCAGTAAATTCAACTTGATCCAACTTTATGTTCTTTGCACTGTTATCCCATACCTTCATTATCCACTCCCACATGTATTTCCTGGGTTTCTATCTGTATAAATTGGAAAAATCATGTAGTTCTTCTGGAGGTAGTGCACCTTCTCATGGGTCACACCTTGTAGCTCACCTTTCAGGGCCTGCTGTGATTTGAGTTTCTTTTTAGGTCTGGCAGCAAAGAGGAGGAGTAGGAGTAGATCTGAGTAAAATTAGCAGGGTCTTGCAAGGCAGCTAACTCAGGGGAGGTTATTACAGAATATCTGGTCAAAGCAAGGTTAATCTTCTCAAATGAGGTGGAAAGCCTTTTTCTACTGGCAAAGAAGATTCAGAATTTTGGTGTTTAATATCCCCAGCTTCATCAGGATCTTCCTGTATCTTTCTACTCCTTCCCAGTCAGTGCCCTCACTTGAATAGCAGACAAACTTCAGGTTGGTGATTCAGTTTGTTTTAATTCAGCCACTTGCAGGATGAGAATGTCATTTTGATTTTTAGCAGTGTTAGCACTGAAGCTGCAAGAGGTAAGGCTTTCTTTCAAGGAAGACATAGAAACTTTCAGATAATTTATACAGTTCTTGAGCCGGGAATTTGAATCCCTAAGGGAATCCATTTCATTTTTCACTTTTGTCTTAATGCAATTAAGAGGAACCAGCCCATGTCATTGTATTTGTTAGCTTGGCAAAACTGCTCTAAGGTATTAAATACATGGTCACCCAGAACTTTGCCTTTTATAAGTGTTAACATTTGATGGAGTATCTATAGGTGATATTTTACATGTCTTTGTTGCCACATTACACAGTGGACTGTCAATGTTCTCTTTACTACTGGAAACAGAGGCATTAGTGCCTTTAAATCTCATCAGCATAGAGAACCAATTCCAGAAATCTAAGAACCAATTCAGAAAAGTTGTCCTTAAGATTCTGTTGCTCTAAAACCATTCTTGGTACAAAAATATGTATCAGGGTTTTCCAGAGAAACAGAACCAGTGGGGGACACACACACACACACACACACACACACACACACACACACACACACACACACACACACACACTTATATAGAGAAGTTTGTGTTTAACAGTTGGTCAAGTGATTTTGAGGGCTGGCAAGTCTGAAATTCTCAGGGCAGACCAGTAGGCTGGAAACTCCTACAGGATTTCTATCTCGCAGTGTTGAGACAGAATTTCTTTTTCTTCTGAAAACTGTAGTCTTTGTTCTTAAGGCCTTCAACTGATTAGATGAGACCCACTTACATTCTAGAGGACAATCTGCTTTACTTAAAGTCAGCTGATTGTAAATATTAATCATATCCAAAAAAATACCTTCGCAACATCTCAGCTCGACCAAACAACTAATCTAGCCAAGTTGACACATGAGATTAATCATCACAAATGGTATAATATAGCAGTCCCTAACCTTTTTGGCACCAGGGACCAGCTTTGTGGAAGACAGTTTTTCCATGGACTGGTGTAGGGGACAGGGGATAATTTTGGGATGAAACAATTCCACCTTAGATCATCAGTCATTAGATTCTCTTAAGGAACATGCAACTGGGATCCCTCACACGTGCTGTTCACAGTAGGGTTCACACTCCTATAAGAATCTAATGCCACTGCTGATCTGACAGGAGGTAGAGCTCAGGAGGTAATGCTTGCTTGTGTATGGCTTTTGCGCTGCTTGCTTGCCACTCACCTCCTGCTGTGCGGCTGGGTTCCTAACAGGCTATGGATGGGGAGCGGTACATGGCCCTGGGGTTGGGAACCCCTGGGATAATGTATGCTAGGCACAATTAGACATTGTGACCTTAAATAAATGTAAATACCTAGAAAAATGTCTAGCACATGGAAAGGGATCGATGAACAGTAAACTATTGTTATTGATGGTAATAGTAATAGTAACTGCATCTGTCATAAAGCTTTTTGATTATATGTGTGTTGCCTCCAGTGGACTATGAGTTTTTTGATGCAGGGCTGTATCTCATCAGTCTTTGTATTCCCATCACACCATATAGGCATGTGCTTAATAGGCTCTTAATGATGAAAGTTGTTCATGGAATGAAAACTTTTCTGATCAGGTTTGGCTCTATTTATTGATTTGACAGTTCTAGTTCTAATAGCTGACTGGGTAGGGGAGATTTCCTTTATAGTGTAAGAAACAAATGAAGCCTTTGTTGTTGTAAATCAAAAGTCTTTCTGTAGGGAGTAATTTCACTTCTTTTTTCTTTTTTTTTGGAGACGGAGTCTCACTCTGTCCCTCAGGCTGGAGTGCAGTGGCATGATTTTGACTCACTGCAACTTCCACCTCCTGGGTTCAAGCGATTCTCCTGCATCAGCCTCAGTAGCTGGGATTACAAGTGTGCACCACCACACTCAGCTAAATTTTGTATTTTTAGTAGAGACGGGGTTTTGCCATGTTGGTCAGGCTGGTCTTGAACTTCTGACCTCAAGTGATCTGCCTGCCTCGGCCTCCCAAAGTTCTGAGATTACAGGTGTGAGTCACCGTGCTCAGCTGTAATTTCACTTCTGAGCTGCATTTCTACTTTGGTCAGCTGAGAGTAGTATGTCCTAGCACTTTGATTTATCCTGGATTGTAGTTTACTTTTTTGGGGTAGAGGGTAGGGGATACTGATTAAAGTGGTTATATTTTTCTTTAGAGTTTTAATAGGTTTCATTTGTTAAATTGGGTTGGAAATTAGTAATACAACAAATGAAATTTTGATTTTTACATGTATGATTTTTTTTTTGTTTGTTTGTTTTGAGACGGAGTCTCACTCTGTCACCCAGGTTGGAGTGTGGTGGTGCAATCACAGCTTACTGCAGCCTCAACCTCCTGGGCTCAAGCAATCCTCCCACCTCAGCCTCCTAAGTAGCTTGGACTACAGGTGCATGCCACCATGCCTGGCTAGTTTTTGTATTTTTTGTAGATGTGAGATCTTGTCATGTTGCCCAGGCTGTTCTCAAACTCCCGTGCTCAAGCAATCTGCCTGCCTTGGCCTCCCAAAGTGTTGGGATTACAGGTGTGCACCAGCATGCCTGGCCTGTATTCGTACTTTAATAAAACTGAGTAGTATATAATAGTAGCTTTAAAATGAAAAAGTAAAAGGCCATTTTGATAGTGATTATGGTAAAAACACAATACAGTTAACTTTTAGAAGTCTTATTTTGTATCACTTCAGTGTTCTAATATTAGTGAGAAAATTTTAGGTAGAATTATTAAACAACATGTTATTGGTAAAGTTTAATTATTTTATCTCCTTTTTTAATACCTAAAATGTTATAGAATCACTCAAGACATTGTTATAGAAAAATAGGGTAGAAATGCAAGCTTATATTTGGGCAGGACCGCACTTTCAAAAAAATATTTATTTAGAAGTATTAACCTTGTTTATCTTCCCAAGAATATTCTATCTTTTTTTTTTTTTTTTTTTTTGAGACGGAGTTTCGCTCTTGTTGCCCAGGCTGGAGTGCAGTGGTGTGATTTCAACTCACTGCAACCTCTGCCTCGCGGGTTCAAGCGATTCTCCCACTGCAGCCTCCCGAGTAGCTGAGATTACAGTCGCCTGCTACCGCATCTGGCTATTTTAGTAGAGATGGGCTTTCACTGTGTTGGCCAGGCTGGTCTGGGACTCATGTCCTCAGGTGATTTATCCACCTTGGTCTCCCAGTGTGCTGGGATTACAGGCCTGAGCCACCATGCCCGGCTCTAACTTTTCTTATAAAAATTCTTTTATAGTTTTTACTCCCATGTAGTATACTGTATGTAAGCCCATTTTCTGTTAGTTTGCTTTTGAAATTCTGTGGAGTGTACTCTTCAGGGCTTCACAATAAAGACCTTGATAGTATTTTCCTCCTTAATTTGCCTGTGGAAAATATGTTGTTTCCATTTGTGTTGGTTTATTTATTCTATTAAAAATGTTTTTCCTTGAAACTCATGTATCTGTTAGATTTCTTTTTAAAAATTTTATTTTATATATGTTTATATTTTTATGGAGATAGGGTCTCGGTATGTTGGCCAGGTTGTTCCTGAACCCTTGTCCTCAAGCAGTCCTTCTGCTTTGGCCTCCCAAAGTGCCAGGATTACAGGTGTGAGCCACTGTGTCTGGCCTAAATCCCTTATTTCACTTTTACGACCTGGACAAAAATACTCTTTTAAGCAAAGTTTTCTAGTATCATTGGGATATACATTCAATTAAATTAATTAATTAATTAATTAATTAATTTTTTTTTCTGAGACAGGGTCTCGCTATGTTGCCCAGGCTGGAGTGCAGTGGCTATTCACGGGCGCAATCCCACTACGATCAGCATGGGAGTTTTGACCTGTTCCGTTTCTGACCTGGGCCGGTTCACCCATCCTTAGGCAACCTGGTGGTCCCCCGCTCCCAGGAGGTCACCATATTGATGACAAACTTAGTGTGGACACCCGATCGGCATAACACACTACAGCCCAGAGCTCCTGGGCTCAAGTGATCCTCCCACCTCAGCCTCCCAAGTAGCTGGGGCTACAGCACACACACTGCACCTGGCTAATTATTTATTTTGAGATGGAGTTTCGTTCTTGTTACCCAGGCTAGAGTGCAGTGGCACAGTCTTGGCTCACTGTAACCTCCGCTTCATGGGTTCAAGTGATTCTCCTGCCTCAGCCTCCCAAGTAGCTGGGATTACAGGTATGCGCCACCACACCTGGCTAATTTTTGTAGTTTTAGTAGAGATGGGGTTTCACCATGTTGGCCAGGTTAGTGTTGAACTCCTGACCTTAGATGATCTGCCCGCCTTTGCCTCCCAAAGTGCTGGGATTACAGGTGTGAGCCACCATGTCGAGCCTGGGATATATATTTTAAACTCGTTATAAATGTTTGTGATGTTTAAACTCATAAATGTTTGGACGCCTGGATGAATTTATGGCTCTTTTTTTCTTTTATTTTAACTTTTTAATTTTAGTGCCAGAATTCAAAGTGGCTCTTAATTGTGTATAATAGAGCTAACAAAATTATTTCACTTTTGAAAAAAAATTTTTTGAGAGTCTGTACTTGAAGACATTTCCCTGTTATTAGGTGAACTGTTGACCAAGGGAGTTAAACAGTTATGCCAAGCAATATATCATGCTATCTTTTCCTTCATTTTCCTTCTTTATTTTTTTCTCCTAGGAGACCTCCGAGCTTGCACATATTGTAGAAAAATAGCCTTAAGTTATGCTCATTCCACAGACAGTAATTCTATTGGGGAAGACTTGAATGCCCTTTCAGATTCTACTTGCTCTGTGTCTGTACTTGATCCAAGTGAACCCCGAACACCTGTTGGGAGTAGGAAAGCCAGCCGTAACATATTTTTAGAGGATGATTTGGCCTGGCAAAGGTATTGTCCCTCAAATATAATTTTATTTAAAATCCTCTGACCTTTGAGTGCTTTCAGTTAACACTTACCTTCTTTGAATTATTTCCTGTCAATTCACTATGTTCTCCTTTTTCCTTGGTTTGCCTCCAGAATGTTTGCAGATGTTTATGGATAGTGATGATATTGACTAATTAGATTGTAAGCTCCATGAAAGGAGACTTTACACCTTTCTTGTCACTGTCCTACCTCAGGCACCAAGAACAGTGCATGGCATATATATAATCTTGATAATATTTGTTGAATAGGCAACAGGAGTCATTAACATTATTAATTTCTAATGTAGCCTTCCGTGAGAAGAAGAATGCTCATACAATTTGTATTCATATTTCCAAATGAGATAAGATTTTTTTTTCCTTCTGAAGGAACACATCATGTTTTTCTGTAAGTATACTGCACTGCCTAGTAGTAGAGGGTGCTAACTCTTGGAAGTTACCTGGAATTGTTTGACTTAGAATCTTAGTTTTATCAGTTTCTGATTTTTAAAAATTATGAGTTACTATTTTTGAGATGGCCTTGCTCTGTCACTCAGGCTGGAGTGAAGTCACTGCAGCCTGGAAACCCTAGACTTGAACACTCTTTCTGACTCAGCTTCCTGAGTAGCTAGAACTGCAGGTGCATGCCACTGTGCTTGGCTAATTTTTTTTTTTTTTAAGATTTTTTTTTTAGAGACAGGGTGTTGCCATGTTGACCAGGCTGGTCTTGAACTCCTGATCTCAAGTAATCCTCTCACCTCAGCCTCCCAAAGTGCTGAGATTATAGGCATGAGCCAGTGCACCTGGCCTCTGAGTATTTTCTTTAGGTGAATTATTTTGTTAAACATAATACTAAATCTGGCCATTTCAAAGAGCTTATAGTTTTGACTAACATCTCTCTGATAGGTTAGTTTCTCAGTTACCCCTTAAAGAGATTGATAAATTAGTATGTAATGAACTTAAGCAAAGTAAAAAATGAATTAATTACAGCTGCGTTCAATATGTATGAATCTCAGGGAGAAAGTGGAATAGAAAAGAAAATCATCTAATCATGTAACCAGCAAAATTTAATTTATATAAAATTTAAAAATACACAAAACTAGTACACTGTCTAGGGACACAAATGTGGTAAAACTTAAAGAAAAGAAAGACAGTGATGTGAAATTTATAGCAGTGGTTTCACTGAGGGCAGAGAAAGGAAGGGATTAGGACTCGGTAGGGGAATTTCCCAGTCAGTGGTAGTGTTCTTTTCTTAAATTAGTTTTTATTTATTTATTTTGAGATGGAGTCTCTCTGTCGCCCAGGCTGGAGTGCAGTATCGATCTTAGCTCACTGCATCCTCCGCCTCCAGGGTTCAAGCGATTCTTGTGCCTCAGCCTCCTGAGTAGCTGGGATTATAATTGTGTGCTACCATGCCTGGCTAAGTTTTGTATTTTCAGTAGAGATGGGTTTTGCCATGTTGGCCAGGCTGGTCTTGAATTCCTGGCCTCCAGTGATTTGCCAGCCTCACAAAGTGCTGGCACTTTGTGTTGGCATGAGCCACCATGCCCAGCCTTTTCTTACATTGCTTGTTGGGTACTTTGGTGTTTATGGCATTGTGATTCTTTATACTTTACATATATTTTATAAATTTTAAAAATTGATTCTGTATTATAAACATTGATTCTACAAATTAGAGATTTTTTTAAGTTTTTGCTTCCTTTTGTTAGTAATGCTTTTTAGTTGTGACTGGCCCTGTTGTAATTGGCAGACGTGATTTAACAAAACAAATCAGGTAGGAAAGCTTCCTGAGAGATGTACAATAGATGTCAAAGGTAGAATAATAGTTAAGTTTTAGGTTCTGTGCTAATTGCTTAATGTTCATTCTCTTTTAGTCAGCATATCTCTGTGGTAGGCACTGTTTTCTCCTTTTGGCAGATGTGGATGCTGAGGTTTAGAGAGATTAAGTAATGAACTCAAGGTCACACAGCTAGTAAGAGGTAGAGCCTGCACTTGGACTTAGGTTTGTCTGACTCTATGATGCTATTCTAGTGGGTTATGGGGACTGAGAATAAAATATTTGAACTCAGATTTCCCTTCAAAATCACTTATCATCTTGTGTTTATAATGTGAGAAGTTTCATAAGTCAACCATCCAACTAATTTTATTTATATTCCATGTACTTAGAAACATTTAAAAATTGTCATTTGGTATTCTTAAGAAAAAAGCCATGCACTGCAAAAACTGTTATTCATACCATTTACACCCTAATTAAAGGAAGAACCAAAATGACCCATAATCTCATTATTGCAGGGAAAAAGCTTTAATCTGCTTTTAATGCTAAAGCACCTCACTGAAGTTTCCTCTTACTGTCCTGAATTATTTCAGTATTTTCCTATTTTCTTTATAGTTTGATTCATCCAGATTCCTCAAATACTCCTCTTTCAACAAGACTTGTATCTGTGCAAGAGGATGCTGGGAAATCTCCTGCTCGAAATAGGTAAACTGACAAATGAAAACAGTATTCTCTGATGTTTATTTCTTTTCATGCTAATAAGAACAAATGGATTAAAAGGGTGGGATTGATTGTCATATACTTTCTTAGCTCTAAAAGCTGAATTAAACTAGTGTTTTCTTTTTGGTATTCAGCTCTTGTTTCCATTCTCTCAGTGACTCTTGGCAATATTCTCCACTGACTTTTGAATTTGGAACCTACACCATCCTTTCTCTTCTAGTTAAATAAGATATGAAGGATGTGAGGGAATGAGCCATGTGGACATTTTGTGGAGGAGGACATTTTCTGGGAGAAAATACACCTGGCAAGGAATAACAAGGAATCCTATGGTAATGGAGTAGAGCAGTCTTAGAGTTAATCCTTAGGACCCTGTCATTTACTCTGAGTGAGATGGGAAGCTGTTGGAGAGTTTTACATTTTTTATTGTTAATTTTTAATTGCTTTGAAAAAATGTCAAATTTGCAGAAAAGTTGCAAGGACAGAAAAATGTATCTTCATCTATTCTTCATTAAGATTTGCTAATTTATATTTTTCCCTTTTGCTTTCTAGTTTTTTCTTTTTAAAATATTTATTTTATTATTTTTTAATAAATTATAGAGATGGGGTTTCACTTTGTTGTTCAGGATAGTCTTCAACTTCCGACCTCAAGCGATTCTCCCACCTCGTACTCCCAAAGTGCAGGGATTGTAGGCATGAGCCACCGCACCTGGCCGTCGTTTTTTATGTTGTGTATACATATATGCATATTTTCTGAACCATTTCAGAGTAAGTTGCAGGCATCATTATCCTTTATATTTTCTTAGTTAATAAAGTTTATTTTTTATAGCAGTTTTAAGGTTCATAGAAAAAATTAGCAGAAAGTACAGAGTTCCCTTATAGCCCCTGTCTCCATGACCGTCAGTGTCCTCCACCAGAGTGGCATATTTATTGTAATAAGCGAACCTACTTTGACACATCATTATCATCCAAAAGTCCATAGTTAACATTAGAGTTCACTGTTGGTGTTGAATATTCTATGGGCTTGGGCAAATGTATAATAACATGCATGCATCATTGTTGTATTCCACAGAATAGGTTCTCTGCCCAAAAAGTCTACTGGGCTTCCTCCTATTTATCCCTTCCTCTCCCCAACCCATACAATCTTTAATCTTTTTACTGTCTTTATAGTTTTACTTTTCCCAGAATGGCTTATAGTTGAAATTATACAGTGTGTAGACTTTTCAGATTGGCTTCTTTCACCTACTAATAAGCATTTAAGTTTTCTCCATGTCTTTTCATAGCTTGATAGCTCTTTTCTTTTTAGTGAGGAATAATATCTCGTTGCCTAGATTTGTCATAGTTTATGTATCTACTCGCCTACCAAAGGACATCTCCATTGCTTTAAGTTTTATCAGTTATGAGCAAGGCTGTTATGACATCTGAGTATAGGTTTTTTTGTGGATATAATTTTCAGTTTATATAGATAAATACCAAGGAGCATGATTGCTGAGTCCTGTGGTAAGATTATGTTTAATTTTGTAAGACACTGCTAGACTTTCTTCCAAAGTGGTTTTACTATTTTGCATTCCTACAGCAATGCATTAGAGTTCCTGTTGTTTTACGTCCTCGTCACATTTGGTGTTGTCAGTTTTGGATTTTGGCAGTTTTAATGAGTGTGTTGTATTATCTCATGTGATTTGATTTTTCTGTATTAATCTTGTATCCTGCCAACTTATTATAATCACTTATTAATTTCAGGAGTTTGTTAGTTCTTTTGGATTTTCTGTATAAACAATCTTATCATGTGTGAACAAAGTTTTGTTTCTTCCTTCCCAGTCAGTGTACCTTTTATTGTCTTTTCCTGGCTTATTTCATTAGCTAAGACTTCTAGTCCAGTGTTGGAAAGGAGAGTGAGAGGGTACATCCTTTCCTCGTTCCTGATCTTAGTGGGAAAGCTTTGAGTTTTCTCACCATTAAATATGCTATTAGCTGTATGTTCTTTGTAGATATTCTTTACCAAGTTGGGAAATTTCCTCTATTTCTAGTTTACTGAGAGTTTTTATAATGAAGGAGTCTTGGATTTTGTCAAATGCTTTTTCTATATCAATGATATGATTATGTAATTATTCTTCTGTAACTGATTGATGTGATGAGTTATATTAATTGATTTTTGAATGTTGAGCCAGCCTTGCATACCTGTGATAAATCCTACTTGGTCGTGGTGTATACAGTTTTTTATACATTGTTGGATTGGATTTGTTACTGTTTTGTTGAGGACAATAGGCTGTGGTTTCCTTTTCTTGTCATATCTTTGTCTGGTTCTGGTATGAGGGAAATGCTGGCCTCATTGACTGAATTAGAAAGTATTCCCTCGGATTCTATTTTCAGGAAAATTTTGTAGAGAATTTACATATTTCTTTCTTAAATGTTTGGTAGAATTCAGTGAATGAATTTGGGCCTGGTGCTTTCTATTTTGGAAGGTTACTAATTACTGATTCAATGTCTTTAAGAGAAATAGGACTATTTTGATTTTCATTTCTGTTATTAGTACTTTGGGTTTTCCCTTTTTTTTCTTAGCCTAGCTGGAGACTTACTGATTTTATTGATCTTTTCAAAGAACTGGCTTTGTTGATTCTCTCTATTGATTCCCGTTCTCAGTTTCATTGACTTCTGCTCTAATCTTTATTATTATTTTTCCTGTGTTCACTTTGGATTTAATATGCTTTTTAACCTCTTTGTTCCCTAAGGTGGAAACTTAGATGCTTGATTTTAGATCTTTTTCTTTTTTTTTTTTTTATTTTTGAGATGGGGTTTCACTATGTTGGCCAGGCTGGTCTTGAACTCCTGACCTCGTGATCCACCTGCCTCAGCCTTCCAAAGTGCTGGGATTACAGGTGTGAGCCACCTCGCCTGGCTTTAGATCTTTTTCTTAAATGTATGCACTTGGTGCTATGAATTTCCTGCTAAGCAATGCTTTCATTGCATTCCACAAATTTAGATAGGTTGTATTTTTAATTTTCATTTAGTTAAAAATATTTAAACATTTTTCTTGATATTCTTCTTTGACTCATTTTTATTTTTTATAAGTGTGGTGTTTCCTCTCCAAGGATTTTGGGATTTTGTAGCTGTCTTTCTGTTGATTATTTCTAGTTTGATTCAGTTTTTGTTGTTGAAGGCAGATATTGTATGTTTTCTACTCTTTTAAATTTGTTATGCTGTGTTTTATGGCCCAGAATGTGGTCTGTTTTGGTGAATGTTCCATGTGACTTGAGAAGAATGAGTATTCTGTTGTTGGATCAAGCGGTCTATAAGATGTTCGATATATCCACCTGATTGATGGTGTTGCTGAGTTCAGCTCTGTTGTTACTGATTTTCTCTCTGCTGGAGATGTGTCCGTTTCTGATAGAGGGGTTAAAGTCTCCAGCCGTACTAATGGATTCATCTGTTTCGCCTGTAGTTCTGTCAGTTTTTGCCTCATATATTTTGGTACTCTATTGTTAGAAGCATACATATTAAGGATTGTTATATCTTTTGGAATATTGATTTCTTTATCATTATGTAATGTCCCTCTTTATCTTTGATAACTTTCCTTGCCCTGAAGTCTGTCTGAAAATTAATATAGTTATTTCTGCTCTTTTTTTTTTTTTTAAATAACTGTTAACGTGGTGTATCTTTTTCCATCTACTTACTTTTTTTTCACGTATCCTCTTTGGATTTCATTTAAAATTTTAAAAATTAATTTTTAAAATTTACACATAATTGTACATATTTATGGGATAAATAGTGACATTTTGACCATTCACTTATTTTTTAATATGTATATGTCTTTGTATTTAAATTGGATTTCTTGTATAATGTATTTTTGGATCTTGTTTTTTGATCCATTCTATCTCTGTCTTTTAGTTGGTGTATTTAGACTATTGACATTTAAGGTGATTACTGATGTAGTTAGTTTCATATCTGCCATATTTATTACTGTTTTCTACTTGTTGGCCTTGTTCTTTCCTTCCTGTTTTTGTCTTCCACACCTTTTCCACCTTTATGTTTTTAATTGAGCATTTTAAATTATTCTATTTTCTCTTTTTAAAAGCATATCAGTTGTATTCTTTTTACTTTTTTAGTGATTACCCTAGAGTTTGCAATAACTTACAGCTAATCCACATTTACTTTCAAATAATACTATACTACTTCCCAATTTTTCCCTCCTATTTGTTGTATCATTGCCATTCATTTCACTTACATATAAGCATGCATACATATGTAGTTGAATACATTGTTGCTATTATTATTTTGAACAAATAGTTATCTGTCACATCAACTAAGAGTAAGAAAAAGAAAAGTTTTTGCATTATTTCTTCTTTGATACGTTTCGTTGTGTATTAATAGATATAAGTTTCTGACCTATATCATATTCCTTCTCTCTGAAGAAATTCTTTTCAGCATTTTTTGACATGCAGGTCTACTGGCAAAAAATTCCCTCAGTTTTTATTTGTCTGACAAAGTCTTTGCTTCTCCTTCACTTTTGACGGGTATCATCAGGGTACAGAATTCTAGGTTAGTCGCTTTTTTCTCACAACACCTTAAATATTTCACATCATTCTTTTTGCTTGCATGGTTTCTGAGGAGGAGTCAGATGTATTTATTATCTTTGATCCTCTATAGCTAAGTTTAAAATTTTTTTTCTTTAAATAGAGATGGGGTCTTGCTGTGTTGCCCAGGCTGGTCTCAAACTCCTAGCCTCAAGCGTTATCTTCTTGCCTTGGCCTCCCAAAGTGTAGGGCTTACAGGTCTGAGCCACCATGCTTAGCCTCTAAGGTGGTTTTTTTCAAGATGTTTTTCTTTATTTTTGATTGTCTACAGTTTGAATACACATAGTTTTGCCTAACTGTAGTTTTTTTCGCATTTATCCACACTCATGTTCTTTGAGCTTCCTGTACTTGTGGCATGGTAATTGACATTAATCTGGGGGGATATTCTCAGTCATTATGGTTTCAAATATTGCTTGTGTTCCTTTCTCTCTTCTTTTTTTGGTATTCCCATTACATTTATATCATACCTTTTGTAGATGTCCCACAGTTCTTGGATATTGTTTGTTAACCTACCTCTTCCTGGGTAGGTTAACTCTGATATAACTCCAGTAGATTAGGCTCTGGTAAAATAGTTTTTCCTTAGGGCAGGACTTGTTATGAAGAACAGAATGCTCTGATATATTTTAAAATTGTTTATTCTCTCCCACTGTTGGAAGCCGGAAGCCGGAAGGAATTTTTCTCTGACATTCATGTGAGGACATGGTATATCTGAAAGTGAAACTCCCAGAAGCATCCCCAGCACCCCCATGGCTGGGTTTACCTAGAATTTGTATCTCTGGTTTGTTTACAGTGAGCCTCGAGGAGTTTGTCAATTTGAGTCTAGGTTTTCTTGGTTCCCATGGAGGTTTCTGCTCCAGTGAGTTGTGATTCTCTCTATCTGCTTGTCTGCCTCTGCAGTATTTGGGACAGCATTTGCTTTGTGACCTCACTTTTCTGATGGAGCTAAGAAAATTTGATGATTTTTCTGTTTGCTCAGGTTCTAGTTGTTGGGATGGAGTGAAGATCCTCACATGCTAGACCAGAAATGGAAAGTCTTATTTTTTACTTTTGAGTACTTAAGTGTTTTTCCTTGGAACAATCCTGTTCTCTTACGTAGCAAATTTAGGAAATTGTAACAGTGGTAAATTTCTGTTATCCCCATACTGTAGGTATTCTGATTTTGCCAGTTGCCTTAATAGTGTCCTTTGTACTGATTTTCCCCCAATCTGTGATCCAGTTGAGAATCATACATTGAATTTAGTCATGTGTCTTGGTTTTCTTTACTCTGTAACAGTATCTTAGTCTTTCTTTGTGAAGAGGGAAGACCAGTTGTTTAGTAAAATGCCCATCAATTTAAATTTGTCAAAAGCTTCCTATGATTAGATTTAGGCTGTGCAGTTTTGGAGCAGAAATACTATGTGAGTGCTACATCCTTCTTAATCTGTTATGTTATAAAGGACACAATACAAGTTTATCCCATTGATGGTGTTGACTTGATCTCTTGCATGTTGTGTTTCTCCACTGTAGTTACTATTGTGTCCTTTGTAATTAGTAAGTAATATGTGTGGGAGATACTTTGAAAGTGCATAAATACTCTCTATCTTACTAATCTTTCAGTCAATAGTTTTAGCATTCACTTATGATACTTGTTGAAATGCATTGTTATTATATTTGCAAAATGGTGATTTTTCTAAATCCGTCATTGCTTCTACATTTATTAGCTGACATTTTACTCTGTAAAGGTTTCCCTTGTTGCAGACTTTTGGGTGAAGTGTGGAAGGGTGACATGACCTGATATATGTATAATACACACACACACACACACACACACACATTTTTTAAAGACAGAGTCTTGCCGTGTTGCTCAGGCTGGAGTGCAGTGGCATGACTTCAGCTCACTGCAACCTCCACCTCCCGGGTTCAAGAGCTTCTTGTGCCTTATCCTCCCGAGTAGCTGGAATTATAGGCGCCTGCCACCATGCCCAGCTAATTTTTGCATTTTTAGTAGAGACAGGGTCTCCCCATGTTGGCCAGGCTGGTCTTGAACTCCTGACCTCAGGTGATTCACTCGCCCCAACCTCACAGAGTGCTGGGATTACAGGTGTGAGCCACCATGCCCAGCTGAAATAGACAAATTCTAAATATATTTTGATTGTAGAGCTAATAGGATTTGCTAATCACCTGGATGTAGGCTTCAACAGAAAGATATCAAAGATGACTCAGGTCTTTGGCCTGAGTAGTTGAAGGGGTGGAATTGCCAACTGGGAGGAACAGTTTGGTTTTAGACACGTTGAATTTGAGATATCTTGTAGGCATCCAAGTGAAAGGTCAAATAGTTGGTTTATGAGTCCAGGATTTAGGAGAGGAGTACAGGCTAGAGATATAAACTTGGATGTTGTCCTCATGGTATTTCAAGCTATGGACTTGGATGGAGATCAAGAGAATGAGTGTGAAAAGGGAGGAAATAAAGACTAAGGATTGAGATTGGAGAAATCAAAAGAAACCAGAAAAGGAGACAGAGGGAGAGGCCAGTGAGGTAACAGGAAAACCAGGAGGGTATTTATCTTATTAGTCAAGTGGAGAAAGTTTTTCAAAGAAGGGAAGCTATGTGGCTGATATGTTAAGTAAGATGAGGAGTGAAAACTGACTATTGGATTTAATGACAACATTGGTAATCTTAATTGTTTTTTTTTTTTTTTTTTGATAGGGAGTCTTGCTCTGTTGCCCAGGCTAGAGTGCAGTGGCACGATCTTGGCTCACTGCAACCTCCACCTCCTGGGTTCAAGCAATTCTCTTGCCTCAGTAGCTGCGATTACAGGCACGTGCCACCATGCCCAGCTAATTTTTGTATTTTTAGTAGAGACGGAGTTTTACCATGTTGGCCAGGCTGGTCTCGAATCCCTGACCTTGTGATCCTCCCACCTCAGCCTCCCAAAGTGCTGGGATTACAGGCGTGAGCCACTGTGCCCGGCGGACATTGGTAATCTTGATAGGCAGTTTCAGTGGGTTGTTTGGGGTTCAAGAGATAATGGAAGAATTACTGGAGATGGGAGTTTTGCTGTAAAGTAGAGGGAAATGCAGAAGAGGGATGTGGAGTCAAGAGATGGCTTTTTAAAAAGATAGGGAAAATTATAGTATTCTGTTGGCATGTTTAGAAGTTTAGGGATAACTGTGCTAATTCACAGTGTATCTCCCTATGTTTTGAATTAATGCTAAGATTGATGTAAGTCTTAGGAAACATGTAATTTAGTCAATGAATGCTGTCTCTAAATATAATTTTAATCAGTATTCTTGCTACTAGCCTACTTCTTAGAGCTTTTGACAGCAAAATTGACTAATTTTCTTTTATTCTTGTTGCAACTATATTAGAATATGTACAGGGATAGTTAGAATGATAGAGAAGTAGAATGTATGGATAGTGCACCCACTGGAGAAGAGATTAAAATTAATTAAGACATTATAGCAAGATTTCACTGAAAGACTAGGCCAATAAATAAATAACTGACTATTAAAAAAAATTGCTTATTGGCCAGGCGTGGTGGCTCATATCTGTAATCCCAGCACTTTGGGAGGCCAAGGTGGGCGGATCACAAGGTCAGGAGATCAAGACCATCCTGGCTAACACAGTGAAACCCCATCTCTGCTAAAAATACAAAAAATTAGCCTGGTGTGGTGGCACGTGCTTATACTCCCAGCTACTCGGGAGGCTGAGGCAGGAGAGTCGCTTGAATCCAGGAAACGGAGGTTGCAGTGAGCCCAGATTGCGCCACTGCCCTCCAACCTGGGTGGCAGAAAGAGACTGTCTCAAAAAAAAAAATTGCTTATTGACTATTTGATATCAGTGCTTTGCTATTAACTGACACTTTGCTAAACCTGCGAATAATTTAAATTATTTAAAAAATATTTTATCTTCATACAGGGAAATCTTGGTTTTCAATTGACACCTAATTGCAGGTGGCAGCCCTGATACATATTAGTTGAGTTTAGGTTTTAAACATATTAGTCCAGCTACTTTAGATAGATTAATCTCTTATTCTTGATATATTTATCTGTAAAATAGAGCCAGCAATACATATTAATAGGATGCTGTGAAGATTAAATTTGGGAAGTACAGATTCTGCTGTAATGAAGGAGTTATATAGTTTAATACATCATAGGTATTTTTGACTTTTATCCTTTACGTGGAAGCTAAAATTGGGTTTAATTTTTTCTAGATAGAAGTTAACTAAATTTTTAGTTACTTTTTCTTTTAAATGAATTAAAGCTTGTTTGATGCTGTTGGTATTACACTTCTAAGTCATTTGTTTGGTAACTTTGCCAAGAGTCAGAATTAAGGATATGTATGAATACTGATATTATGAGAAAAACACATTTCTTGTATTTTTTTTTTACTGACAAAATAATGTAATAATATTTGAGGATAGTATTTTAAATATAGGTCTACTAGTGAGAAGAAAATAATTCTTTTTTGGGGAATAACACTTTGCTTATTTGGCCTTCAAAATTAGTGTTCCTTTCATCAGATTGATTGCATTGCAGATAATTCAACTATGAAAACCTTACTTCATGGGCTATGCAAAAACAGGAAGCAGGCTAGATTTGGCCTGTGGGCCATAGTTTCCTGACCCTGATCTGGAAGATTATTTTGCATTTAGTTGTCATTCTTTATATTTGTCAGTTAAAAAAAAGTCCACTAACTTGCAGCATTTTAACAAGAAGACTTTGTATCTATTCCTTTTGAAATATTACTGATATATGAGCTATATAATTGTTTTCCTGTAATTTTTCCATAACTACTTCCTTTTAAACTTATTTCCAAGTAATTTTATACACACAATTTTAGAATTGCAAAATATAGACTTACATAGAATTGCAAATATCGTACAGAGTTTCTGGGTATCCTTTACCAAATTTCTTTCAATGATAACATAATGCATAAGCATCATAATTACTTTTAAAAGTACCCTTAACATTGGTAAATAAATATTTATTTAAAACTAAATTTTCTCTGTAATTTTATTTATTGAAGAAGAATTTACACCTGTGATTTCACTTTTTGTTTTTATTTCCAGATCAGCCAGCGTTACTAACCTGTCACTGGATAGATCTGGTTCTCCTATGGTACCTACATATGAGACATCTGTCAGTCCCCAGGCTAACCGAACATATGTTAGGACAGAGACCACTGAAGATGAACGCAAAATTCTTCTGGTACTGGTCCAATATCCTTGACGCATTGCTGGTTTTGAGCATAGAGAGTGTTTATGTGACGGAATCTTTTTTTAATTTTTGAGACAGAGTCTCACTGTGTCCCCCAGCCTGGGGTGCAGTGGTGTGATCTTGGCTCACTGTAACCTCTGCCTGCTGGATTCAAGCGATTCTGGTGCCTCAGTCTCCCAGGTAGCTAGGATTACAGGCACATGCCACCACACTTGGCTAATTTTTTGTATTTTTAGTAGAGATGTGGTTTCACTATGTTGGCAAGGCTGATCTGACCTCAAGTGATCTGCCCCTCTCAGCTTCCCAGAGTGCTGGAATTATAGGCGTGAGTCACTGCACCTGGACTGTCACTGAGTCTTTTAAAAAAGATATATAAATGAAATAGCATATCAGTTCAACAGAAGTGATTAGCTTCAGTTTTACTGGGATTACCTGAGTGATAGGTCAAGTATTCTATATTCATTGCATTAATTTTCTTTACCCCTTTATCTGGTAAAATCAGAATTCAATTGCCTACATAAAAAGAGAGCTTAACTCTTAGGTTCCATATTGCTATTTAAGCTTTGAAGCATGTTTGTTATACACATGTAGCACTTTTCAGACATTTAATACTATATGTGAAATAATAATTATTGAATTTATCTGTGCATAAAATACTGTGTTCAATTCTAAGAGTGACTCAGAGAAATGGAAGATATAGCTGTGTCCTCAAGCTTATAATTCAAAAGTAGAAATAAGAGCCAGGTATGGTGGCATGTACTTATACTCCCAGCTACTTGGGAGGCTAGAGCGAGAGGCCAGGGGGTTGAGGCTGTAGGGTGCTGTGATCATGCCTTTGAATAGCCACTGCACTCCAACCTGGGCAACATAGCAAGACCTTGTCTCTAAGACAACAAACAAACCAGCAAACCCACAAAAGGTAAAAATAAGATTAGTAGGAAGAGGCTTAAGAGTGGAAGTAGTAATACTTTAATAATAAAAGAGTATCAAATAAATAATATGACTGTATGTCATATAAGAATTCAAAAAATAGAAAGCTCATTACTAATGAGGGAATCAGGAAAAGGCTTAAACTGAAGGGCTTGAACTGGACCTTGAGTGATGGAATAGTTTTGGATAGGCAGTGAGAATGGCGAATCTTATTTGAAGGTGTGAAGAAAGATACAGAGATGAGAATAAACATGGCATTTTCCATGGCCAGAAGTAGGATTTTTTAATTGGGAGAGAGTTTAAGTAGGAGTCAGGGGGCAATGAGAAAGGAAAGTTATTTGGGACTACCTGATGGAAGGCAGTGAATTCTAAACTTAGAGGTTTAGATTTGAACCTGTAGTTGCTGAGGAACATTCAGAATTTTTTTGAGCAGGGAGTATACAAAAGCTAACCTGGCAGTTGGGTACATGGTGAGAATCTGGTGGAGTTTCAGCCTCTAGGAACAGTTAACCTTAGGTTAGTGTGATTGACTGTTGTCTCCCTCTGCCTTGCCCTATCTTCAAAGAAGAATACATAAGTAGGAGATTGATAATATGTGCCATTGACTGAAAAAAGAAGTATTTGGAATAGTTGGTTTTCAAGAGAAAAAGTCATATTTGGAATTAGATGAGCCGAGTTCAAGCTGTTCCCACGTATGTGTCATTTGTATTAAGTCATGTGAGTTAGCTACTATAAAGAAATCCAAACTGGGTTTCTTTTTATGAGTCTAAAAATCACAGGAAAACATCTGAAAAGGTATATAGCATTTTTCTGAACAGTAACTACTTGCTGTTAATGTGATTGCAGGACAGTGTTCAGTTAAAAGACCTGTGGAAGAAAATCTGCCATCACAGTAGTGGAATGGAGTTTCAGGATCACCGCTACTGGTTGAGAACGCATCCAAACTGCATTGTAGGAAAGGAATTAGTCAACTGGCTAATCCGAAATGGGCACATTGCCACAAGGTATTCTGATCTTAGAAAGAGGTTTCAATATTATTTATTTATTTTGAATGAGGAAACATTTGAAGATAATAAGAGTTACAGATTTCTTTTTAGAGTTAGGATGCTGTTTGTTTTTTGTAATTAATGGTTTAGGTTGCTGATTAGTTAACTCTCCTCCAATCTGAGTTTTAACCAATAGAGAACAGATGCAAGGAGTACAAGGAGCCAAATAGGATCATAATTTACCTTATTAAAAGCAGAATAACTCTACTAAAGGAGGATTGGAGAATGTAGCTGGAACCTAAGGCCAAAGAATTCCCCTGCTACTGTTTGCTAATCTAGACATTGTAACCGGTGTTGAGTATTGGATCCATAAGCTATGCCTGTCAGGTCCTAGCTTGCCTGCCTCATAAATCATTTATAAAAAGAGTAACAGGTCATGCTTTTCAAATAAACATATCCCCTAGCTTTTACTATTTTCTCAGATTAGCTACTCCTCCACTCATGGGAAGAAAAAGGTATGTAAAAAAGTAGAGAGAGAAATAACTTTAAGCAGCGAAGCCCTGGTTGTAATTTTGGCTATATATATTTTTTAACTTTGTGCTTTTAGTCAAGTTATTCAATTTCTTTGAGATTTCTGCAACATGAGGAAAATTCTGTGGTCCTGTGAAGAAACTGAAGGGATGAAGTAATATTGGCTGAAGTGCTTTATAAATTGTGAAATGCCATATAATGTAATGTGTCTTTAAGTGTCTATTTCATGTATATATATACACACACTATATATATATACATGTAGATAGGTATATACATATATACACACACACATATTTTATGCCTGTATCTCTAATATTTGGTATTGTCTTATTAAAATGAAGCTCCTTGAAGGTAGGAGCTTTTCTCAACATTGTTTATTCTGTTAAGTGCATGGATGGAACGCTCAGTCAATGCTTGCTGTTATTAAAATTAGGTTTTGTTAGATCTTGCCTTACCAGTAGTTTCTTCTCCTTTACTATAGTACCTGGAAGAATCTTTTAATTTGCTTTAAGTCTTCTCTTGTTTTATCCTTTACTTATCCAAGGGCCATTGGAAAATCTAACTCTGATTAGAACTTATCTGGTATTTATAAAACTATTCTGACTGACTTTTAAAACTTCATTTTTGTGGGTCTTGATTTAGGGCACAAGCTATAGCAATTGGACAAGCAATGGTTGATGGACGTTGGCTGGATTGTGTTAGCCATCATGACCAGCTTTTCAGAGATGAGTATGCGCTGTATAGACCACTGCAGGTACTTTTCAGTGTTTACTGCCCATTAGAATGTAGCAAGCTTATTTTATGTCTTTCTTCATCAGTGAGAATAAAGAGTACTTTACTGGAAGATAATTTTTCTAACATTTTTTTCTGTTGTTTGAGTAAAGCGAAAACATTTTTTACATGATAGGCAGCAATGATGAAAATGCTGCCATTAGAATCAAACATTTTATTGTTTACTTTAAATTTGATCAGACAATAAAAAGGAAAAAATAAGAATCAAACACTTTATTCAGTTGGTGTGGTAGTTCTTAAATTTGTCTTTATGGTATTATAAGTTGTTTATCATTTAACTTTAATGGTTTTCAGTTTTATTATGCCTATGTTTTTAGAACTGAGAGTATAAAAAAATGAAAAATTTTATGACATCTATTGAAATAGTTTTGACTCTAGCACTATTGTATAACAATGGTATACTGATGAATATATATATTTTTATTCTACTTCTAGGGAAGTAGAAATTATTTAAAAATAGAACTTTAAAGAAAAGATACACTTTTACTCTTGGTTTATGTAATTTGATATATATAATATATAGGTTATATATATACACACATATATAGACGTATCTACACACACACACACACACACACACACACACACACACGTGCATTGCTGACCCTTGAGAGTTAGGGATACTGACCTCCTGCATAGTTGAAAATTCATAGATAATGTTTGACTTCCCCAAAACTTAACTGCTAATAGCTTACTGTTGACTGGGATCTTTATCGATAACAGGCAATTAATACATATTTTGTATGTTGTATGTATTATATACTATATTCTTACAATAAAGTAAGCTAGAGAAACATGTTATGAAGAAAATCATAAGGAAGAGAAACTATATTTACTCTTTAGTAGGTGGAAATGGATCATCACGAGGTCTTCATCCTCGTTTCATGTTGAGTAGGCTGAGGAGGAGGGAGGAAAAGAAGAGATTGCTTTTGCTGTCTCAGGGGTGGCAAAGACAGAAGAAAATCTACGTATAAGTAGAGCCATGCAGTTTAAACCCTTGTTCAGGGGTCAACTGTGTAATGTTTAGTAACACCTTTGTGAACTAAAATTGGAAAGTCAGTGGTTAGAAGAGACAAATGGCTCCAAAGACTGCTGTAGTGATTAAAAGTTACTTTCCAAGATGTGTTCTGGATAGAGTTGCCCCAGAGTTAAAATAAATTCTTAGCTATCTTCACTCTCAGGACTAAGGCATGAAATGAAGCACTATAAAATCTGTATCAAAAAAGCTTTGTTTTTAATTTACTACCTAAGCCCTCTAGCTAATGAAAATTACAATTTTAAAGTGTGGAATCGTCAATATGGTTTATAACTTAGTTTTTGTTTATTTATATATAAATATATAAATTCTATTGTTAGGTGGTAGAAATATTGGACTTCAATTTATTTGTAGTGTGACAGCCTCAACATTGTTGCCATTGAGGGCCAATTGCTTGGATCCTGTCTTCATCTTTTCAGAGTACAGAATTTTCTGAGACACCTTCTCCAGACAGCGACTCGGTGAACTCCGTGGAAGGACATTCTGAGCCATCGTGGTTTAAAGACATAAAGTTTGATGACAGTGACACAGAACAGATAGCTGAAGAAGGTGACGATAATTTGGCTAGTGAGTTTGATTTTCTAACATTTTAGTTTTGATGGGTCATTACTGTGTATGTATGATAAAATGATTATCTTGTTTGTTGAAATAATTCTGCTTTATGATTTATGGCTCCAACTAAATGGAAACATCTGACAGCAGTCCTTGTCTTAGATACAGTATTTTCTTAAACCAACTTGTTTAGGCTGACATTTCTAGATTTTACCGTAGTCTGTAGTTTGCAGCAGCTTAAAAATAACTGAACTAATAATATGGCAGCAGACAACTTTCTCATCTCTTCACTATGATATCAGACTTTCTCTCTGCAGAACCTCCAATATATTTCTTCATTTTAAAAATTGATTTAATATTTAACTTGTTCAAATTTTTATTAAGTCTACACAGAAGTACATGAAAATACTGTATCCATTTTGGTATTGCACATTGGGCTTGTATATTAAAAAAACATTTTTCTCCTTTCCTCCAATACCCTGATAAAACGCATTTTTACTCCCCTCCTCTCCCTATATTTCTTTCCCCTTCCCAACACTAAAAGATTCTGCCAGTCCTAGCAAGCGCACATCAGTCAGCAGTTTCCAGTCCACAGTGGACAGTGACTCAGCCGCTTCTATCAGCCTGAACGTGGAGCTGGACAACGTGAACTTCCATATCAAGAAGCCCTCCAAGTACCCACATGTGCCCCCTCACCCTGCTGACCAAAAAGGTAGGAGGTAGTCACCATCTGGAATCCAAACACAGGCTGGACAGCTGGGCCATAGGATCTCATGCCAGCCTGTCCTTCTGGCTTCCTCTGTCCCATATGGCTAAGGGGATTTGGTGTGGGTTTTGTTCTACCCTTTCTCATTTCTCCCACACCTCCTTCCCATACCTTTTTTGGTTGATTCCTTTTATTTCTTGTTTTCTCCCTCAGCACCACCATGCCCAGTTTAAAGCTTGTAGTCTTTAAAAGGAACTACATCTTACTGCTCTTCCCATAATGTGCAACTTCCAAGGTGGCATTTCTTTGCATTTATAACATGGATGTTCTGCTCTATTCTTTTCTCTTTCTTCATTTAACATTTTAAAGCCTATTTGCCTTTGCTGTTACCTAGTAACATAATATTTCACTAAAGCCATTAAGATGCTTGAACTAGATTGGGGAAAAATCATTCACATATTCCAAAATATCTCCATAATAATTCATAATGGTTATTAAGTATATTCTATATTTATTAAAATAATTTCTTCTCTAATTAATATAAGATGAATTTATTATTTTTAGCATCTTATTTGATGCTTTAGTCTACTGGCTCAAAAATAATAGTGACCATATTTAAAATACATTTGGTGTAAAAGGAGAAAGAAGGTAAACACTATCAAAATCTAACATAGCAGCACATAAGAAAATGCCTGTTTTTAAAATGGATGATGAGGTTTACTCTACTGGATATAATTAGAAGCAAATTTAAGTTATAGTCCTATCGTGGAATTGTGTAAAAGTGAATAAATAAAAAATACATGAGTGAATAAATAATTGTGGGATTTTGTTATGTTGTAATAACTGAAAAATTATTATGATAAAGATGAAGCACTTTATTCCATGATTTTACCTGGAGTTTGTATTTTAAACATATAACTGTCTAAAGTTGAATTATCTCCTTACTTAGATCTGAAATGCTTGCCTAAGTTTTGCACACTCTATTTTGAGCCTAAAAATGTAATCAGGAAACAGAAGCTTTTGAACTAAATAAACATTTATACTGAAATGATTTGATACAAGTTTATATTTCTCCAACGAATTTCTCATAATTGTCACTATTAGCCATTATCAAGATGTGGTAAAATGGCACTTAAGAGTTATAGTAATAAAAAGATATATGTTTTTTTAAAATAAGAAATTTAGAGAGGGTGTGGTAAATGAGGAGACTTGACTAGCATTGAACATCTTTATGGATATCCTCAAAACAGAAATTGGAAAAATGATGGAGAATATTTGGGTGAGTATGAAAGGATGGAAAGCAGATAGGACAATTGTGTGAGAATTAACTATAGATGGTAGTCACATGGAGGCTATTATGAAGGTTTTGAATATAAACTTACAGATATGGGTCACAGGCACACAGATGATGAATATCTATTCTCTGGACACACCTGTTGGCAATTGCATTTTGCCGTAAGCAGAATGTGAAGTATACTTTTGACTTGCTGATGATTTCACCTTTTGAAATGTTAAAGAAGTTTTGAAAATCTTGAAGAAAGTGACCTGTCATCATAGAATTTGTAATAGCGAAGGATAGACTGCTGAGCACAGTCAGATACTTACTTTTGAAAACCTAACTTGAGAACATTCAGAGTCGAATGGAACAGGAGGCTCCAAAAATGACATTGTTTTGGTACGACTCCCGATTGTATCTCCAAGGAAATTGACAGGAGAAGCGCCTGCAGACGACACAAATATGACTCCTTTGGAACCTCCCTGATCTCAATCCTTTTTTTTTTAAAGAGAGAACCTGGCTGTGTTGCTCTGGCCAGAGTGCAATGGCACAATCTCGGCTCACAGCAACCTCCACCTCCTGGGTTCAAGTGATTCTCCTACCTCAGCCTCCCAAGTAGCTGGGATTACAGGTGCGCACCACCATGCCCAGCTAATTTTTTTGTATTTTTAGTAAAGATGGGATTTTATCATGTTGGCCAGGCTGGTTTTGAACTCCTGACCTCAAGTGATCCACCTGCCTTGGCATCCCAAAGTGCTGGGATTATAGGCATGAGCCACTGCGCCTGGCTCTCAATCTTTTAAAAAAATTGTCTATGAAAGCTATAAGTGGCAACTTCATAGGAGAATGAACCTGAAAGAGGGGCCAGCACTTTTAAGAAAAATGACAGGATACTAGAAGCCCAGCTTGCACTGAAGTTTGGAGAAAATACCAAGGATATCTGAGAAAAATTTAAAGTTTGGTAGAAAGAAAAACTAGGCCAGTTACTTGGGAAAGTTTATATAATATTGATTGATGACTTAAAAAAGGCTTTTTTTTTTTTTTACTCTCCACTCTTTAGATTAATCTTATCAGGAAAGAATATACATGGTTAAGAGGAAAGTGAAGTCCAGGATAATGAAGAGATTAGAGAATTAGTGAATTTTTAAAGTAAGTCTATTGCTAGGTTTAGGCAAACTATATGCCGGGTTATTGAAAGACTTTTGATGTGGGATCATGGAGCCAGAGTTTGTTATCTTTGAAGAGTTTCAAAGAGTTGGAGAGAGTCTAGATTACTATAGTGATAGATGCATTAATGTTTTTTTTGGAAAAGATGGGTCCTTGATGTGACATTGGAAGCTGGCAAAATGTAGAGCAGTGTAGTGAACAGAATGTACTGTGGTATTTAGAAAAGGGGTTGGTGGTGATTAGGCACCAGCATTGGTTAACCAAAATAAATCATTCCAAAACAACCCCATTTCCTTTTTTTATGGTGATACAAGATTAATAAATCAGAAGACTATGATAGATACTATCTTCGTTGATGTTAATAAGACATTTAATGATCTCTTAATAGCTTTGTAGGCAAAGAGGACAATTTCGTACTTGAAGTATGTTAAAAGTGGCAAAGGCAGTGGTCATATTTGTTTAAAGCATAGGCTTTAGAGTCAGCTTTACTTTTAAATTATAAATTGACAAATTATAATTATATATATTTATGGGATATAAAAAGATGTTACAATTTATATATAAAATATGGAAGGATTAAGGAATAAATAAGGATTTGAAATGATGGATATGTTTATTAAACCGAACTAATGCACATATTCGTCATTTCAAATCCTTTTTGTTGGGGCAGGCGCAGTGGCTCACACCTATAATCCTAGCGCTTCGGGTGGCTGAGGCACGTGGATTGCTTGAGTCTAGGAGTTTGAGACCAGTTTGGGCAATGTGGCAAAACCCCATCTGTGCAAAAAATGCAAAAAAATTATCCGGATGTGGTAGTGTGCTCCTGTGGTCCCAGCTGTTTGGGAAGCTGAGGTGGAAAAATTGTTTGAGCTCGGCAGATTGAGGCTGCAGTGAGCCATGATTTTGTCACTGCAGTCCAGTCTGGGTGACAGAATGAGACTTTATCTCAAAAAAAAAAAAAAAAAAAATCCTTATTATTCTTAGTGATGAGAACCTTTGAAATTTACTCTTAGCAATTTTGAAATATACAATACACTATTAACTATAGTCATCATGGTGTGCAGTATGTCTCAAAAACTTATTCCCCCTGTCTGAATGAAATTTTTTTTTTTTTTTTTTTTTTTTTGAGACGGAGTTTCGCTCTT